AGATAAAGGGTTGATAACCAGAATCTACAGAGTTCAAGAAACTCTACAACATCAAAACAAACAACCCACTTAAGAGATGGGCCAAGGACCTCAATAGACATTTTGCAAAAGAGGAAATCCAAATGGCCAACAGACACATGAAAAAATGTTCAAGATCACTAGCAATCAAGGAAATGCAATCAAAACCATAATGAGGTTTCACCTCACCCTGGTTAGAATGGCCCTCTTACAGAAATATACCAAGAACAGATGCTGGTGAGGATGTGGGGAAAAAGGGACACTAACCCACTGTTGGTGGGAATGCAAACTGGTTAAGCCACTATGGAAGTCAGTCTGGAGATTCCTCAGAAGCCTGAATGTAACATGTAACCCTACCATACAACCCAGCCATCCCACTCCTTGGAATTTTCCCAAATGAAATTAAATTGGCAAACAAAAAAAGCTGTCTGCACATTAATGTTTATTGCAGCTCAATTCACAATAGCTAAGACCTGGAACCAACCCAAATGCCCATCAACAGTAGACTGGATAAAGAAATTATGGGACATGTACTCTATAGAATATTATACAGCAGTCAAAAACAATGAAACCCAGTCATTAGCAACAAGATGGAGGAATCTGGAAAACATCATGCTGAGTGAATTAAGCCAGTCCCAAAGGGACAAATATCATATGTTCTCCCTGATCGGCGACAACTAACTGAGCACCAAAGGGGAAACTTGTTGAAGTGAAATGGACACTATGAGAAACAGTGACTTGATCAGCTCTTGTCCTGTTGATGTACAATTTAATACTTTATCCATTTTAGTATTTTTTTTGTTCTAGTACTATTGGTTGAACTCTGTAATTAACACACAATTATTCTTAGGTGTTTAAATTTTAACTGAAAAGTGATCCCTGTTAGGAATTTGGAAAATGTTATGCTGAGTGAAATAAGCCAGTCCCAAAGGGACAATTATCATATGTTCTCCCTGATCAGTGACAACTAACCGAACACAAAAAAGGAAACCTGTTAAAGTGAAATGAACACTATGAGAAACGGTGACTTGATCAGCCCTTGCCCTGACTGTTGATGAACAACTTAATACGTTATCCCTCTTAGTATTTTTTTGTTTGTTCTACTTAATACTTTTGGTTGAATACTGTAATCAATACACAGTTATTCTTAAGTGTTGAAACTTAACTGAAAAGCGATCACTGTTAAATATAAGAGTGGGAATAAGAGAGGCAAGAGATGTGCAATTTGGGACATGCTCAAGCTGACTTGCCCCAAACAGTAGAGTTAAAAACATACCAGGGGATTCAATTCAATCCCATCAAGGTGGCATGTACCAATGCCATCTCATTAGTCCAAGTGATCAATTTCTGTTCACAATTATCATAATGATAGGACTAAGAGCCAAAGGGATCACATAAACAAGAATAGTGTCTGCAAATACTAGCTGATAGAATAAAAAAGGGAGAGAACAATCCAACATGGGAAGCAAGATACACAGCAGACTCATAGAATGGCAGATGTCCTAAACAGCACTCTGGCCTCAGAATCAGCCCTTAAGGCATTCGGATCTGGCTGAAGAGCCCATGAGAGTATTTCAGGCATGGAAAGCCAAGACACTCTGGCAAAAAAAAAAAAAAAAAAAAAAAAAAAAAAAAAAAAAACAAACAAACACAAAACTAAATGAAAGATCTCTGTGAGTGAGATCCCAGTGGAAAGAATGGGTCATCAAAGAAGGAGGTACCTTTGACCATGGCCTTGTCTAAATATGATCAGAGTCAGTGAACTCAAAAGGCTTCCATAGCCTTGGTAACTCATGACAAGAGCCTAGGGTGATTACTGATGCCATAAACAAGAGTGTCAATTTGTTAAGTCAACAACAGGAGTCACCGTGCACTTACTCCTCATGTAGGATCTCTGTCCTTAATGTGTTGTACATTGTGATTTAATGCTATAACCAGTACTCAAACAGTATTTTTAACTTTGTGTTTCTATGTGGCTGCAAACTGTTGAAATCTTTACTTACTATATGCTAAACTGATCTTCTGTATACAAAGAAAACTGAAAATGAATCTTGATGTGAATGGAAGGGGAGAGAGAGCAGGAAAGGGGAGGGTTGCGGGTGGGAGGGAATTTATGGTGGGGGGGGAGCCATTGTAATCCATAAGCTGTACTTTGGAAATGTATATTCATTAAATGAAAGTTAAAAAGAAAATGGTGGGGGATGCTTTTACTATGTATTTGCATATTTGAATTTGTTAGATTAAAACTGAGAATGTACAATTTATGTTTATATACCCAGACTGGACCTAGATAATTAGGGGGATAAAATAATTATATCTATAAAGTGGGATATGCGGACAATCTCAAATTTAAAAATAAACATATTTTGGACACATTTACAAGTTGATTATTACTATCTTTCAGAAAGCCTGGGCTATATAGAATTACCTATCTGTAATTTCCAAAGAACAATATTAAGCTTGGCTTAAAGTGCTTCAAACTAAACTTTTCTCAGATAGCTGTTAAATTCCTGTCGCTTATCAAGTTACCTCCAGAAGCTTTCTGTGATTTTAATTAAGCTTGACTAATATTCCAACAGTACAAAGAAAGATGAATTCCTTAAATATTTAATCCATTTATGACTCAAAGTGTCATTTTCTGAATGTGGCTGTTAAATACTTAGAATTAATTACCCTTTTATTAAAGCAGCTTTTTCAGACATTGAAGACATACAGTCATAGCTCACCCAATGTGTAAATGTCCTTTGTTCTCCAGGAGAATTTATTCCAAATTCTGCACTCAAAATCTCAACCTGGTGAGCTTACTGAGGACCACAGAACTAAACATATAGCACATAATCATTGTAACGACCAAGTGTGCCTACTTCTCAATCTCATTTCTGTGTTTTTCCTCTCCTACCCCTCTATCTATTTATGAGTAAAAGATTAGCTGCCTTCTATTTGTAAAGTACAATTCTTTCTTTGCTGTAACTTTGCTCTCCCAAACACATCCCATGACTGCACTTGCCATCTTCAGAAAGCATTTCCTTGCTACCATTAGCAGGAAGCACAGTCATTGCCCCTCCCTCCTTCTGCATCATCCTGAAACACAGAAGGTGTGTGTGACTTTATTTTAATGATGCATTCCCTGATTGTTCACCTTTGCTGTGCTGAAAGTTATCCTAGATGAATAGCAATGTTTCACAAAATTATATTCCTAAGAACGTATGGATATCAATCAGGCAACCACACTTAAGGAGCACCTAATGCCTTCAGGATGGGACTTCTGATCCCCAAATAAGAAAACTGGAAGAACAAGAACATTAAAAGACAGACACATGCACAGCCACAAATATAAGCACACGGGAATGACTCCTGAGTTCTTGGTCTTTGTCAGAGCTCAGCAGTCATTGAACTGTTCCCAGCACCATGCTAGACTCTGAGGCCAACGAGACTGGTAGTTGACTCAACTTCTAAAGGACAAAGCTCAATTGAAAATAGATCCCAGTTAAAAATAAGAGTGGGAATGAGAGAGGGAGGAGCTGTACAGTTCGGCACACATTCCCACGGACTTACCCCTAAGGGTAAAGCTGAAAACTTGCCATGGGACTCCCAATGCCATTAAGCTGGATGATACTAATCCCATTGTACAGGATAAAGTGATCACATTAAGTATGGAATTGATCATATAGACAGGATTAAGTGTCAAAGGGATCACATAAATAAGACCAAGTATCTGCTAATAACAATAGATAGAATTAAAAGGAAAGTTCCAACATGGGAAGCAGTCCACACAGCAGACTCATAGAATGACAAATAGCCCTGAACAGCACTCTGACCTCAGAATCAGCCCCTAAGACATTCTGATCTGGCTGAAAAGCCCATGAGAGAATTTCAGGCATGGAAAGCCAAGACACTGTGGCAAAAAATGTTCTCACACAGATTTTCAGTGAGACCCCAGTGAAAAGAAGGGTCCATCGAAGAAGGATGTATTTTTCTCTGAAGGGAGGAGAAAACTTCCACTTTGCATATGGCCCTGTCTAAACACAGAGTTTGTTTACTCAAAAGGCTTCCACAGCCTTGGCAACTCATGTCAAGAGGTTCAGGTGGTCCCTGACATCAAAAATAAGAGTAATTTTTTAATCAATAACAGGAGTCACCATGCATTTACTCTCCATTTAGGACCTCTGTCCTTAATGAGTTGTACTATGAGAAATAACTGTAAAACTTGCTCTCAATCTACACTTTATACTTGGTGTGTGTTCCCGTGGGTACAAACTGTTGAAATCTTTACTTAGAGTAGAGTTGATTTTCTGTATATGAAGTCAATTAAAAACAAACCTTAATAAAGAATGGGATGGGAGAGGGAGTAGGAGGTGGGATGGGAGTGGGGGTGGGAAGGCAGGAATGCGGCAAAGAACCACTATATTTCTAAAAGTTGTACATATGAAATTTGTATTCATTAAATAACAACCTCCTAAAAATAAGTTAACTTGCTAATGAATACTCTAAAAATAAAGGACAAAGTTGCTTTGATTTAAATTTAAATTCTATAGGAGCTATTAAGAAATTGAAAATCTATAAATTAGCTATTTAGCTTTCACATGAACTAGCCTCAATTTAAGGAAAGCATATCTCCAAATATCATATTCTAGCATTAGCAACACAAAGAGCAACTGGAAAACATTTCCTGAATAATTCAATGAGCAGTCTTCCTTCCCTTCCACCACCTCCCACACACTTTTGATTTAAATACAATTATTTACATCGAAAATATAAAACACTAAATGGCAAGTCAGAATTTCCAGTTGCAGATGCTTCTAATTTTTTTTAAAAAATAAAGTGTATTATGAACATATTTTTGCGGCAAAGAAAAATAAGAATAGAAGGAAGTTAATTAGATGAAAAAACACAAAATTCCCACTGCTATTAAAACAGACACAGCTAGCACTGGGCAGTAGCCAAGGCCATCTGTATCAGGCACCTGAATGAGATGTACCTACCACCTTTCATCATTCCCACTTCGTAGCATTTTCGAAGCCTGCAGGCCTGGCAGCTCTTCCTCCTGTTTTTGTCAATTGTGCACTGGTTGGTAGCTGGACACATGTAGTCATTATGCCCTATTAAAAGCAAGAAGACAGAATTAATATAATTTCAGGAAACTCAGCCAGCCAGAATCTACAAGGAAATAGTTTGCAGGAATCACTCCTATCACTTCTTTGGAATTGCCTTGTTGCAACTTGGGTCTGCCTTCTCTGCCCTTCTGCAAATGTAGATCAAATCTCTCCTAGTCTTATGTTCTACCTCAGTCAATTGCTTCAGGAGTTCTTTGGGCACATCACCTTTCCTTCAAAGAGTCTATATTTTACAGCACAGTATTTTATGCATACTCACAAGGCTAAGTTTTCTCAACATCTAAATTCTATCTATAGATTAAGCCCAGAGTAGAGCTATTTACTAGAGTAGAGCAGTTAGAAACTTAAGGACCCAGCATGGTAGAGCACAAGATTAAGCTACTGCCTGCAGCATATCTGAGCACTGGTTTGAATCACGGCTGCTTCACTTTCAGTCCAGCTCCCTGCTAATGCACCTGAGAAAGTAGCAGATGCTGGCCCAAGTGCTTGAGCCCCAGCCAACCATATGGGACACCCACATGGAGTTCAGGCTACTGGCCTTGGCCTGACCCATCTCGACCATTGTGGACATTTGGATAATGAACCAACAGATAAAAGATCTCTCTCTCTCTCTTTCTCTCTCTCTCTCTCTCTCTCTCTCTCTCTGTGTGTGTGTGTCACTCTACCTTTCAAATAAATATTCTTTAAAAAGAAAGAAATACAAACTTCAGATATAGAGTTTCAAAGTAGTTTTTCCCAAAATGTAAGTTAAGGGATCTTTAAGTATATTCAAATGATGCACAGGGGCAGACATTTGGCCTAGCAGCTGAGATGCCAGTTAAGACATTGCATCTGGGTTCCCAATTCCAGCTTCCTGCTAGTATAACTCTAGGATATAGCAGGGGTTGAGTCCAGTACTTGGGTGCCTGTCACCCAGATTGAGTTTCCAACTCCTAGCTTTGGTCTTATGCAGCCCTAAATATTGTGGCCACTTAGGAAATGAACCAGCAGATGTGAGCTCTGTCTCTCTTACTCTTGCTCTTATTCTGGCTTTCCTCCTCTCAAAAAAGCCAAATGCATTTAGAAAACGAAGCATACCTGAATTCCATTTGAGAGTGATGGGATGGGCCTTTAGAAGCCTCCAACTGTATGTCAGTAAGTTAGTCCATCACTTACTAGCTAGAGGATGCTGAGCCAGCTAGTTAGCATCTCTGAGTCTCAGCCCTCTCCTCTCTAACTTAAAAGAAAAACAGTACCCACAACATACAAGTATTGCAGGTACTAAATGTGAGGATATATGTCTAGCATGTACCACCATGCCCTGGAAGCAGTAAGTACTCAGATAGCAGCTGTTATTGTTCCTGCTGTTTTATTCTTCATCATCTTCCTTTTCTCACTTGTATGTTGAATCTCTGGCTCAAACACTTTTTTCTAGCTTCTAGCACATGCGGGTCTGTCCTGTAACAATGGTTGTCCTGGTTCACCTGACTCTTTAATTCCCACCTTATCTCTTGTCCTTTCTGCCAGCTGGACCCCTCAAAAATGTCCACCTTTGCTCCACTTCAATCCATGCCGATCTGTTTTCCACCTTAGCTGTCTCACCACTCAGCTTCCCAGAGATCGTCAATGATTCCTGTTGCGGAATCCAACAGTTTCAGTTCACACCACATGTGACCCATCAGGAGCAGCTGAGAACAGTGACTGCTCTCTGCCTCTGAAAACCTGCTTTCCCCTTGGTGTCTATCACACCATCCTCTCCCAGTTTCCTTCTGCCTCCCACGCTGCTGCTTTCCAGTACTGCTGGAAGTTTCAATCTTCTCTATCCAATCCAGGGCTCAAAGGTAGGCCTGCTTATCCTCTTATTACTCTGTGTTCCCTCACAAGACAATCAAGTGTGTGTGTGCAGCTTCCATCACCACTGAATGCACAGTACTCACAAATGTATACTCCCAGCCCAACCCTCTTCTTTGAGCTCAGGGTATCTAAAAAGGAACTTCAAACGCTTGTCAAAATGGAATTAAGAAAAGTTCATTTTTTGAAATGTGTATATATAGGAGTCTTCAAATAGTTCTTGAAATGTGCATTATGAAAAAACCATCCGGGGATTTCATATTTTTTCACCAAAGCAAATTTCCCTTTTAATTCCATTTTTCCACATGCCCTCAACCATCCAAGTGCCCACTGAAGCACCTATTTAAGACTTGGAAGTCACCCCTATTTCCGTATCCGACAAAACAAGTCTGGTTTGTAGCGTACAGAATATACAACTTCACAGATTAAAAAATATGGACATTTTTATACAGAAGGCTGTTTATTTATAAATCTCACTTGCCACACATCTTAAAGAATGTCCCAAATTTAGAATAAGGAGCCAATGAAGATTTTTAAAACATGTTTCTCACGTTTCTCCAAATAAAATCAAAAGTGAATATATATTCCACCCTCGAATTCAGATTCTCGGCTTACGTCTCTATTTCCCCATTTACTAAGGGCAAGATGCAACATGCAGTGATATATCTTAACTGCAGAACTCTTTGTTCCCTATTCAACTTAAGGGTCAGTTCCAATTAGAAGAGGGTGGAGTAGGGACTTAACAAGAGACGCTGGTCTCATAAAACTTAGTCCTCCCTCTTTAGGTATACATTATAAAAGTCACTGTATAAACAGGCTTTAGATCAAATTAACTCCTGTGTTCTATTGTGTAATAGAAACCAGCATACTAGGCAGTGGAGTTATAGGCTTGGAACTTTAGTAAGAGGCCAAATGCTGCCCCAAACATCAGGAGGGTGTTATTGTTTGAATTGTCTACATTAAAAGGGAAAAAATTAAGAAACTACTAGAACTAAAACAAAATGTATTTAAGTCAGTACTTATTCTAAGGAAAAGATATATTTTCTGATATCTTAAGGAAACTTCTAGTGTTTGGTCTTCTATGGTGTACATTATGCTGTATATGTTGATATATTTTAGTTGTAAAAATAAGAGTATTCATGAAGTCTCAGAATAAAATAGTTAATAGACATTCAAACCAAATATCACTTTGGCTTACTTTCTCCCCCAAAGTCAGGTGCTTTGCAAGCCAGACAAAGATGGAAGGAGTGAACTAGGTCACAGGCTGGTTGGCTGAGTCTTATATTTGGATTGGCCATCCACTGTAGATGTTTATCTTTATAGAATCAACTGACATTCCTGAACTAACATGTCTAATGTATAAAATACACTGCACTTGTGCAACAAAATTCAAAACAAAACAAAAATAGATGCACAACAGAATCATGTTCCCAATGCAAATTTTCGATGACACTGCAAGGTTTCCCCATCCAATGACATATTACCATTTTAAAATGCTAAATTGGCAAAGAGAAAAATTTAATAAGTACATTTTAATGTCTACAACTAAAACAAATTCTTCTTAACTAAACACTATTAGCAATTATTTGTAAGGCTTCAACTTACATCAGAAAAAGGAAAACAAAAAATTGGGTTATATTTTCTTTCCTTAACGAGTATAACTTGGCCAATGTGTGTTATTTATATATATATTTTTTTGACAAGCAGAGTTAGACATTGAGAGAGACAGAGAGAAAGGTCTTCCTTTTTCTGTTGGTTCACCCCCCAAGTGGCCACTACGGCCAGCATGCTGTGCTGATCAGAAGCCAGGAGCCAGGTGCTTCCTCCTGGTCTCCCATGTGGGTGAGGGCCCAAGGACCTGGGCCATCCTCCACTGCACTCCCCAGCCACAGCAGAAAGCTGGACTGGAAGAGGAGCGACCGGACAGAATCCGGCGCCCCAACTGGGACTAGAAGCCCAGGTGCTGGCGCCGCAGGTTGCGCCTAGTGAGCCATGGCGCCGGCCTAATGTGTGTTATTAAAGAAATTGAATTAAGTTGCTTTAAAGGAAACTTCTAAATCTCATTATTTGGTCTTGTAAAACCAAAGCATGAGAAAAATCCTATTGAAGTAGAATTTTTTTTTTTTTTTAAAAAGAACTCTTACCAATTGTAATAGTGAAACATACAATGTTTTTACTGGGCAGGAGAACTCTGTATACCTGTGACCATGTTGGCCCAAAAGGTTCTTCTGCACAGGTCTAGATGAAGTATATATTGTCAAAGTCAAGATGCTAGTAATGATTTGAAAACATAATCGTCACTGTTCTCTTTTCCACCAAACATCAAAATGAAAAGCCTTTAAGGAGATCTATGGTTTGAGTAATAGAAAGCAAAGTGGAAAGGAAACAACTGAAAGAACTAGAAAGAAAAAAAAAAGAGTGGAAAGAGAAGCTCCTGAAAGCAGGGATTGCCAGGCTGACTCCAGCTCCTGGGGCAGCAGAAGGAATTGCACTGAGTTTTTCTCCAAGTTTCTCTGGGATTCCACTCCCTGGACTTTGGTTTCCAATTCTCTTCTTATTTTCCCTCCTTCAATAGCACCTATTTTTTTCTGTTATCATCACAAAGAAAGTCTACACTTATGAATTATGAAAATAAACAATGACTCAAGAAGAATGCAAATACAGCCAAATTAAAACAGTAGCACTAGAGAAATCCAATATTGTGGTTCTTTCCTTGTCATCCTTGTGTCCCATTCTCCCTCTGTAATCTGGCATCACCATGGATCAAATCCCTTCCCTGAACTCCAGCTGCCTCTGTCCATGCAGACAGGACTCTCTCAGACCCCTCAAGATGGACATGTTCCAAGCACAACAGATCTGCTTTCTTCTAGATGGCTGTAGCCCCTGCACGACCCCTGCATGACCCCTGCCTCCAACCTTCCCCTGCTAACCATTGTGCACCAAGTTATTAGTGTGATTTTTCTAAAATTATATACCATCATGACATGCTCCTGCTTTAAATTTCTAGGGATCCCGAGTGTTCTAAGGATAAAATTTAAATGACATCATAAAGCTTTTGAAGCTCCTCCCAACTCTGAGCCTCTCTCTCCCAACTCTCTTTAAGTCACACCCAAGTTCTGGCTATGCCTTCTGTTCAAATGTGTCATGATTCCTCT